TGCACAAGCTGTGCTCTAGCCAAGTCGTCGTTTCTCTGGGAATTGCAATTAAAGAACTGCTAGAAAACAGTATCGATGCGGGCGCCAAAAGAATTGGTTCGTGCCTATTCTTGCTCCAACCTTACAATCTTCTATTCAGAAATCAAACTGAAAAATTACGGTTGTGATGCAGTGGAAGTTATTGATGATGGTAACGGTATACGAGAAGAAAACTTCGACACACTTGGTACCTTCCTTTTTGCCTTGAGGAACTAAATTTATAGGCAGGAAGCACAGCACCTCCAAGATTTCTACGTTCGAGGATTTGGCGAGTGTCGCCTCGTTTGGTTTCCGTGGAGAGGCCCTCAACTCCCTCTGTCATCTGGCGTAAGTTAGGTTACGTCCACTTTTTTAGACATCACTAACTTGCCTATCATGAAAACAGAATATACAGCGGTTGCCTCAAGAGAATGGAGTTAGCTCAGCCGTGGGCTATCCAACCTTTCCTCAGAAAACTGCTGGTAGAGCCGCCTCAAGTGTGGCTGCTCGCCAACTTGGCAGATCGATTACCAATAAGAATTCTCGTGTTAACGCGTTACCACACAATGCTAATACTGCCTGCTATCCAATACGTTTTCAACCACTGCCGTTACGTGGGTGGGGTCGGGCTCAGACCCTGTCTGCATCATATCGTCCAGACCTGCAACATAAAGAGGCAGGTGTATGTCATGTAGTTAGCAGGTACTGATTCATCCAGCCTTTCGTCAGTGTGTTGGATATCAAATATGCAAAGAAGATTCCTTCAGTGATATGAGAAAATCCGTTGCTTACTGGATTGTGCAGAGGATGTACAAGTTAAGGCAAATAGGATAGTTTAATCAAGCGGCGCCGTTCTGCTAGACTTAAAAGCCGTCTTCGATTCAGCCGTAGGCGAATTAATAACCGACACTAAAACGCATGAATAATACTGATCTTCATTTTTTACTTATCTTCCTTCGATTACTTTGTCCTCGTGATTTCACTAAAACAAACTTCAGACAATCGTGTTTTGACCAGCTGTCTTGGACCTTTTTCCACTGGCTTCCCGTGACACATTAAACTAGGGAGTAAGCTTTGATTCGAGCACCCACCCGATACTTTTGTGATGGCTGCGAATTGTTCGGATTATAACCGAAATCCTCTCATCCTGTTTCCTAGGGATATAACGATTCACACTCGGGCTGCTGATGCTGTATGCGGCACTCGTCTTGCCTTTGACAACTCCGGAGCCATCAAGTCCCGTCAGCCGTTGGCCAGAAGTAGAGGCACGACGGTCTGCCTGGAACGTCTCTTCCACACCCTTCCCGTTCGCCGACGCCATCTGACCGACAAAATGCGTCTGATGAAGGAGTTTTCCAAGGCCGTTAATCTCATTACTGCGTACTGTCTGGCTAATGTTGGCCTTCAGATTTCGTGCTATCGTTTTGATGCAAAGGGGTGCGTGGTTGATATGATAAGCTGACTGTTGCATGTGCATATTTGCATGCAACTCTAGCGAGTTTTTGTTTTTCTCCTCTTGGAACACGCTCTTTATTTTTCTCCAGCAAATTGCTTAGAATATAAATCAGTAGCGGCAGTACTGGATGTACACTGGATCGTGAATTCATACCCAAAAGCCTTCAGGTAGAAGTCCTCTATCGATATAACTTACACAGTACGAACTTTTAATTGCTCATATAACGAGCCTCATAACGGCTGAGACAAACACTTTTTACCAGTTTCTGGTATTAATATATTCATTTTCGTCCCTTGAAAAGGTATGAGATATATGAGGTATACGAGGTAATTCCGTAACGAGGGCCCCCCCTACAGTGGCCCAATTACACTTTTAGTTTTTTTAAAATATTAATTAAGTCGTTTCTGTACCACTTGCACTTTATTGGTTGACACGAAAATTTTCTTATCTCTGCAGTGAAAAGGTTCTTGTGGTATCAAACTCGACTGCGCGTAGTACGGCTGAGAACTTCGCAGCGGTCTACGGCCAAACGCAGGTACTGTCACAAATGCAATTTTTTCTAAACTCTGTCAGCTTGTTAAAATTGATCAGATGGCCGCAACCGGGGACGATGAGCCAAAAGCATGACCACACATCTGCCAGGGTTCCTTCCAACATCTTTTCATCATCACCCTTTTTATTTGAATTCGATTATAGCCCTCTCTTGTCACTGTACTACTCACATAGCTTAAGCAGTAGCACCATTCGGTTCATCAGTTGACAGACTCACGCCTTTCTTTTTTCCCTTTTAGCTGAAGGCGCTGATGGAAATTCCTTCAGATTTTGAAGTTACTCCAGAAGTACGCGAGGAGTTCAATGTCAAATTGTCTGCAGAAGAGTTAGATGCTATACGGTAGGGCAAAGCTCCTGCTTGGATCTCCTATTTGAATTCCTTTATACAGTCTTCTCATCAGCTTTGTCGAAAAATGCTGGTAATGTAAAGCCGATTCCATCGAACGCCACTTTTCTTTATGACAAGCTCTGGAAACTTCTTTTATCATCGCAGCGTTGCCGGATTTATCTCGGCGCCACCTGGCTCAACTGGCACTGCGGGACGGTCATCGGCGGATAGGCAGTTCGTCTGTGTGAACGGTCGCCCCTGCGAGTTCCCCCAGGTCACCCGTCTTGCCACTGATCTCTGGCGTCGATGCTGCCGTGAGTCGCTGGCCGCTTCTCTTCTTCCCAGTCGCAGTACTACCTCTAACTTTCCAGTGCTGTTACTCCTGATGGATCTTCCGCAAGGTGTGTGTTTCGCCAACTTATCTTTTTTCTGTTCTTCATCAGTTTTTCTATCTGCTATGTCCATTTCGTTTTATTTACCTCAATATCAGGTCTCAAATGAATGTGACCTAAAATTGTCTTCAGCCGAATATCCATAAACTAGCTGTCTGGTTCATTGTCTGCCCAAAAATTATTTTCTTATATTTTAGCTCTAGCGAAGCTCTTGTTAATCGCTGGTGATTACTTAATCAATTCACTTCAATCTTAGTGGATGAACTCCAGCTTATACAGTTAATCTTAACTTTTTCGTACCAAGACGCTTGTGAAGAGAGACACTATATTCAGCGACAACATGGCTTTTTTAAAAATTATTAATCTGACCCGATTTCGAAAAACTCAGTGGCCTCTGTTGGCCTCGAGCCCACGACAACAATTACAAGGCTCTAGGGGCGTTCGCTATGCACACTCCTTGCACTTGATGCCGTGGGTTCGGATCCCACCGAGGTGGCCGAGTTGTTTGCAATTGGGTCAGATAAATTATACACTTATGTCACAAACATTAATTTGGTGACCTTAGTAGCCACTTAGTGGATTCTGGTTTGATTGCTTAGGAAATTCTGTTTTGGGCAGGCAGTTTACTGTACCTGAATTGGCGGATTCCGTACGCTGCCGTAGGTTGGATGGGTAAATTGAAGCCAATAAGAGTTAACTCGGAAGTCTCCGTCGAGGCCGCCGAGTCGAATTAATTATTAAGATCTACCGAAAGGACCAATTTAGTTAACCTATTACCTCGTAAGCTATCCATGAGTAGGTGGTCCTCCCTAGATCATGTTGCTAGCTCATGCCTGCGATACTTACTGGGTGCCCGTTCATTTCCCCTTTTTGTCTATTTTATCCCCCCAGCCAAGGTGGATGTAAATTTGTCGCCAGACAAGCGGCAACTGTTACTGCAGTGGGAACGACCGGTGGTAATGAAGGTGAAGGCTGCTATCTTGGCGACTCTCTTGCGGGCTCTCGGCAATTCTGTCAACCTGGACCCTAACTGTCAACGCAACATTTCGTCTCTGATGCCATCTCCAACTGTCGCATCTACAACAAAACCAGGTGCGCACCCCCCTTCACTTATTTGCACCTAAGTTTCTATGACAATGGTAATGGGTGGTCTAACTTACTCCCTTTTTTCGTGGTCCTCTATATTTTAAACATGGACGGGTCCCAACAAGCCTCTCCGTCCGTACTGTCTATTCGAGATTGTCTCTGCCGGTGGACTGGCTCATCGGAGCTTAATCACAAGCTGCTGTTGGCGGGTGGAACTATCTAACAGCGTTTACCATCACCACGCTACTATATCGTCATTGCATTTTGCGGTATCTTGTAGGGAGCATGCGTTGGGCCACGCCCCCTGACAACACTGTTGCTGGTCTCTGATAGTCTATTCGCAGACATAGAAGTCCGTTTACTTCTCAGATACACTGAGCTAAAGACTGGCCCACTACTCGTCGCCCGCTGACACGCCAGGTAACCAAAAGCGGAGCTGACAATCTGACTTCTCTTCCACTTCGCTCTCCCCCAAAGCCTGTCTTCGTCAGGTGATGCTAATCCTTTGTCCTCCTGGCTGCAGCCGCATTCAACTGACCTAGTAATTCGTCCTAAAACACTGAGGTTCAGACGGCCTTTTGAGACCAAAAAGAATTTTGGCAAAGCCAGCTGTGACCAGGGAAAACTTGCGTAGCAAGATAACGTCCCCCGGACTGTCTTAGTTATTGAAAAAAATATGTCGAGTGCCTGGTTTTGCTATTTGAATTTAGGTAAATGCAGTTCCTGCAATTTGACATGCACAGTTAGCTGTTAGTGTACCCAAACACGAACTCTGGAGGATCGGCTATCCAAGTCCATCAGCCGTGTAGTATTTTTTGGGTATGGGTACTCTTCGATGTTCTCTAACTTTGTCCCTTTTCATTTGTTCCTACATTCTGACCATGTAGAAGCGCTGATTCCAATTGAGAAGAAGACTAGATTGCTGGGACAATACGTTTATTGAAGGCGAATAAATGTATTGTCCCAGCGATCGAGTCTTCTTCTCAATTGCTACCTGCGACTCGCATGTTCGCTTGTATTGGCTGATTGCAATGTTGACCCTTATTGTTCTTCATCAGTACCGTGTTATTAGATTTTATCTACTTCGTGTCCGATTCACGGATTAATTGCCACCGAGCTTTCTGATGTAGTTCACATCTTAATCTTTCCTCATGGTCATGATCGAGTTAACCGGCTTCAGCAGTTTCATGCCTAGTACTTTTCCATGTGTGACAGTAAGCGAAAGTGTATTTGGGGAGTTAGACTCTCTCCTCCGTGACGGAAACCAAAAGTCCGAGTAGCCTATGCATGTCTAGACGAACTGTGTCCGGTCAAGTTTCGAGTTGACCTCTTCAGTATTGCTGACTACAAACAACAGTGCGACCCTGGGAATGTTGGAGTTAGTTGCTCCATTACGATTATAGCATCAACTTGCGATTTATTTAAGTGCTTGGCGGGGAAATTGGTGCCACCCTTGTTGTCGGAGGTGTTCACTCACCCATCAGCGACATTTATACATCTGCTTTTCAGACGGTAAGGAGTCGGTTACCAGTTCACAGGTTGCCGATACCTCTCTCTCAACAACAGTTGTGTCCACGCAACTCTCCCAGCAGCCTCTCATATCCGCTCACCTGACTCAGGTGCCGAACTCTCCCAGCACGCCTCTGCGGAAACGTGCCCGGTCGCCTTCCGATCAGTTATCACCGTCAACTGATATACCCCCGAAGTCGCCCCTTAGCTCAGATCTTCTAAAGTCCTTACCAACAGTTAATACTGTGGAAAGAAGGACCTATGACAGGCACTTGGTAAGTTGCTGTTTGGTGATTTGTTCATTGTTTTTCACTTTTGAAATATACAATCGGGGTGCGATATGGCGTAGTATTACACCTGAAATGCCAAATTTAAACCTTGTAGCCTACGACTATGAAGGCGCTTGTGTTGTAATGAAACAAGTCAGAGCGATCAATCACCTATGTTGATGCTATGACTTACCATACTAAGGACCCAGGTACTAGCTAAAAGGTCCAGACACGTGTTTCGCCGGTATTCTGCCGCTGCTTCATACAGCCGTGAGGGCCCCAGCTCATCAGTGGGTCCCCCAGCTTTCCCTATCTGCTTTCTGGTTGATATATCGGTTTTAAAAGTTAAGCTTTTAAATTTTCTTAGAAATTAATTTATATTCGCGGTATACATAAGTATATTTAAGGTCTATAAGCATAGACCGAAATTGTAAGTGTATAGTTGGGCTGAAACCTGTCAACCACTGCGTATCATGTGCATGCTGCCAACGGGCAGACTATAGTAGTGTATATTGACGTTGTACCTTACCACAATAATAGTCCGGTACTAACTAAAAACCCCAGATACGTTTTTCGCCGGTATTTCCACATGCTGGCAGCCGCAAGAGGTTGAACTTTGGTGCAGTTTGCGGCACCTGTG